GGCAACTGGGCGAAGTTTCCTATATTCTGGGAATTTGTACCCAAATGGTTCATTCCTGAACCAGACCCTTGGAGTGGGGACGAAGTTGATGCATTATGTAACCCTGCCATAAACGAAGTTGGCATTCCATACGGAGGGTTTCTAGGTCTCAAAGGTTCGAAACCTGGAGGCCTAGTGGGGGTCGAATACTGTTGATTCCCTACGTGTGGCACAATTTGCATTGAGGACACGTTTGATGGCATTTCTAATATACTTACTGGGACCGTATTCAAACTGCCAACAGGGATGGTATTGGAGGCATCAATCGAACTTGAAACGATTGTTGCAGCCCCCTGTGGGGGATTTTGTCCCCTATCTTGGTTGGTTGTGTTAACCATTGTTTTGGTACGTTGTCTTTTGGGTATATGTGGATTATTATTCTTTATTTTGCCGCTTCGAAGGTTCATGTACCGAAACGCGCTCCAAACTCAGAAGATCCTAAAATTCTCTAATAGGTTTGATAAAACTTTTTGTTATGACATTGTCCCACCGGGTGTGCCAATTTGTTTACAGTGATTTCTAGTAAACAACCGCTAGTCTTCTAATTTATTGATTATTATTGGTTACTTGCAGGATCGACTAGATTGATCCTAGGACACATGTGTCATAACTCATTTCTATGTTCATACCCATTATCTTGATAAATTTATATTGTATGTTAATGTCGAATGTGAGATTCTTAAGAAATATCTCTAAGATTGTCTATAGAAATAAACTGACTGAATGTACAAAGGAAAGACTTCGAATTAGACTTAAGATTTAATACTTGAATGTAAAGATAAGGAGTTTATAATAATATAATAGTTTCTGGAAATATGAAGTGTTTGAACAAAAGGATAAAGTAAAAGTGAAGTTTCTAAAGAGATAAATGTGTTTGAAAGCAAGTAAAACAAGGAAATAAAAGGAAATCGAAAGATTTAAGAGCAAAAGTACTGTAAAAGTGAAAGAAATATAAAAAGACTTGTATTGAAATTATAAATAATCATGATGTTCAATACATACATTTTGTCTTCTAACTCGTTTCCCTTAAGTCACGGTAATTTGAGTGTTTGAGATTTTTTAGTACACGAAATGAACACACCAATTCTAACATAAAAACACCTATTTATAGTATCCTGACCCTAACGGTCCTACTCTAAAATCATGCCACGTTCGAAGCATGCAGGCTTCTTACGTTTACTGACTTCCACGCGTCTTCTAAGAATGGCGCTCTTATTTGAAATTCGAACCCTGTGCCAGCGAAGTATTTTGCTAGTTTTCTTCGATTCGAATTAAACTATTTGCCTGGACCGCTTCCAATTCTGGCACATTTGCACAAAGGAACTCTTTATATTTTAAACACAAAATCCCAAATCGAAATCCATCATCTATCACTGGAAATCGAAGAGTCCTTTAGAACAATGGTTCTATATTTCCCACCAATATTCATCATTGATATCAACCTCCTTATATGCTTATTCAAAATATTGTTTTGATATCCAATTATTCTTTATTCGAAATTGCCAGCTAGAAGCTAGAAGACAAAAACTGAATGATAGAAGCAAAGTAATGTTGTTGGTGGGGTACCACAGTACAGGTGCGTATAAGCTTTATTATCCAGAACCTAATAAAGTTGAAGTCAACAGAGACGTTGCGGTGAAAGAGTCTGAAGCATGGGATTGGAACAAATCTCAATCAGATTCTGGTGTAATACCAACACCAGAGTTAGCCTCTGAAGATGTTTTAGAAAGTTCAGAAGATGAATCTGATCCTGAAGATTCTGAAGATGAGTCAGAAGAAGATTCAGGAAATGGATCTAATTCTGATCCAGATGCTGATGATGATCCAGAATCTGGTGGTGATCATAGTTCTGGAAGGGAAAACTCTGAAGGTGGTAACTTTGAAAGTAGTAGTTCTGGTGCAGTTTTAGAACAGGCTCAAAGACTACAGAGAATCAGACAAAAACCAAGAAGGTTTGCAGATTTTGACATGTTGCAGGATAATGAAGTTGACTCTGAAGGAGAAGTCGTTCAGTGTGCCATGTTAGTAGATTCTAAACCAGTGGGCATTGAAGAAGCTCTCAAGAAGAAAGAATGGCTTAATTCCATGAAAGAAGAACTTGAGGCAATAGAAAGAAACAAAACTTGGAAATTGGCTAAACTTCCAGATAAGAAAAAAGCCATTAGCGTCAAATGGGTTTTTAAGTTGAAACTTAAGCCAGATGGTTCCATTGGCAAGCACAAAGCTAGACTAGTAGCTAGAGGTTTTCTTCATAAACCTGGGCTAGATTATTTTGAGGTGTTTGCGCCTGTAGCTAGGCATGAAACAATCAAACTGGTGATTGCTTTAGCTGCAAACAGAAAATGGTCTTTAATGCATCTGATGTGAAGTCTGCATTTCTGAACGGTCCATTACAGGAAGAAGTTTATGTGTCACAACCTCTTGGATTTGTGAAAAAGAATCAGGAAGGGATGGTATACAGGTTAAATAAAGCTTTGTATGGACTAAAGCAAGCGCCTAGAGCTTGGAATCTGAAAATTGATTCATTTTTTAAGAAGCAGAGATTTCAGAAGTGTGAGATGGAATATGGAGTTTATGCACAACACTCTGATAAAAATATGATTCTGGTGTGTCTCTATGTTGATGACATTTTGCTAACAGGTAGCTTCCCAGAAGATATAAAGAAGTTCAAGGAAGTTCTGATGAATGAGTTCGAGATGACAAATCTAGGAAAAATGACATATTTCCTAGGGATGGAGATTCAGTACTCGAAGAAGGGTATCATTCTGCATCAGTTAAAATACGAACAAGAACTTCTGAAGAGATTTAAGCTGCAAAATTGCAAAGTTGTTGTGACACCATCAGAAACCAATCAAAAATTAGATTCTGACTCTGATGGTGATTCTGTTGATTCAACAACCTTAAAACAGTTGGTTGGTTCTCTAAGGTATTTATGTAATACTAGACCTGACATTTGTTATGCAGTTGGATTGGTTAGTAGATTCATGAGTAATCCAAAGTGGTCTCATTTCCAAGCTACTGTCAGAATTCTGAGATATATTAAGGGAACTCTGAGATATGGAGTGTTGTTTCCTTCTGAAAGAAAGATATAATTAGAATTAGTAAGTTATTCTGATTCTGACTGGTGCAGAGACAGAGTGGACAGAAGAAGTACTTATGGATACTTGTTTAAATTTCTGGGAGGTCCCATTTCCTAGAGTTGCAAGAAACAGCCTGTCGTGGCTCTGTCAACATGTGAAGTTGAGTATATCGTAGGTGCTGTAGCTGCTTGTCAAGGTTGAAGTTGAAGTTGAGGAACCTCTAAAGCTGATGATTGATAATAAGTCTGCAATTGATCTTATCAAGAACCCAGTGCTACATGGAAGAAGCAAGCACATTGAGACGAAGTATCACTTTCTCAAAAGTCAAGTGCAGAAATGAGTGTTAGAAGTTCTGCATTGTAGCACTCAGAAACAGCTTGCAGATCTTCTGACAAAGGCAGTTAAAACAGATCAATTTCTTTGCTTGAGAGATGAAATTGATGTTGTTAGCTTATGATAAAAATATCTAAATTAAGAGATGATATTGGAAATATAATTTAGTTAATGTCTACAATTCCGAATGCTTATTCTTTAATAGGGCCTTTTGGAATTTTCTTTTTTAGTATAAATATGCTACCTAGGCTATCAATATTGTAACTCATTCATTCCTCTTTTGATATACAATAGTAGTCCTCTTTGTTATCATTCATTGCTCATTCTTCTTCTTCCCTTTCATTACCTTGCACCAACATGTTCCACATGTGTTAGGGAGAGGAAAGTATTTGGGATTTATGTCAATGATTGGAAGAAGTAAGAAAAGAACTTTTGTGTTTATCAAGGATCGTATTTGGAGAAGAATTAATTCCTAGAGAAGGAGGTGTTTGCCTAGGGCAGGAAAGGAGATAATGATTAAGTCTGGACTCCAAGCAATTTCGTCTTATATTATGAGTATTTTTGTTATCCTGCATGATATTGAGAAGATGTTGAATTTATTCCGGTAGGGGTGGTGATCAACATAAAGGTATAAGGTGGTTTGCTTGGGATGGATTAATAAGGATGGTGGTCTTGGATTCATAGATTTTAAAGTATTTAATATGGCGATGGTGGTTAAGCAGGGGTGACATATCATAATTAATCCTGGGTCTTTGCTCTTTGGTAGCAATAGTTTTTAAAGCCGATTATTTTTCCCACTCATCTTTTCTTGAGGCTAATAGTAGAAACAATCTGAGTTTTGTTTAGAGAAGTATTTGAAAGATCATGAATGTTTTGAAGTTGGGTTGTTTATGGAGCATTGTTTTCAAGGGGTAAATTCTTGACTATCCCTTGAAAAAATGGAGGTAATTTATCCTTAATGATGTGTACTAATAAAATGTCGTCACATAAATAAAAGTAAACTTTTAAAATTAATTATTTATGAGATTTTTTTAACTATAGATAACTTTTTTTCAATTTAAATTTTAATTAATTAGATTTTAAGTTTTCTATTTTGATAAATTTACATTCTATGTCTTTTTTTGTTGGGAATTATCATAAATTATATTATATTATTATTATTATATGTATATCATATTTTATCTACTGTATTTTTTTTTACATAATATCTATCTTCGATGTGTTTTTGTTTATTAGAGATTCCTCGTTCTATCTATTTTCTCACATCTTTCTTTTTCAAAGAATCTTGACGTGTATGTAAAATTTGATTTTTAATTAATTTATGTTAATTCCATTTATAAATTGTTCTCTATAATTCAATTTGCCAGATGATTAGTGTGACTCTAAATATCACAATCAATATTGATAGTGTAATGTCTTTGTTATCCTATATTCCTAAAAATGTTTTTATTTGAAATATTATAGTATGATTATTTAAACTTTTTTTTTTGTTTTGATTGTTGTAGAACGGTGATGTCAATTACAATGTAAATTATTTTACCATGCACAATGGTGAATCAATTGTTCAATATTTCCCACCAACTAGCATCCTCTCATCACATTCTAACACCACTCTGCATAAGTAAAGACCTAATTACACACCGATATGTTTTATAATTGTTCAATTAATTATTTTCGTTTAATTTGCTTATTATTATTATTATTACTTCTGATTATTCTCTTTATTTACAACAGTTTATGAGTATGTTGAAGGAGGTGGAGCGTTCCCCAAAGCAGCACAAGCAATAAGAGTGGAATTTATGAATATTGTTAAAAGTATTCTATTAATTCTAACAATTAGAGTTGATTCATTATGTCAGATAAAATCTTCTAAGTTATGCATTTTGCTAGTACGATTTTAATTTTATTTTCTATTGATTCTAACGATATATGTAATTTTATTGAGAAATAATATAGATTTAAATAAATTTTTAGTCTTTGTAAGTTGGCATTTTTTTATGTATTTTATTTTTCATAGAAATCATTCTTATATGTTAATTTTTTTTTGGTTTTAATCATAAATTAAAATTCGTAAAAAAATTCAAAGAAAAATCTAAAAAAAATCTATAAAAAATCTATAAATTTTTCTACGAATTTTAATTTTAGAGATTAATCAAATCAAAAAAATAAAATACAAAAACGAAAATAAAAAATATACAAACTAAAGATTATTTAAACTAATAAAATATTATGCAAATACATGTTCTTTAAAAATTCAAGAAAAGTGAGTGTTTAACACATAAAATTCGATTGCTTATTTTAAGGCATCATAAAATTAGTTGTTATTTTTTTCTTTGAGCCAAAACTCATTATTTACATACACTAAAATTACAACTTATGAATATTTTTTATAGTTCAAATTTAAAATCAAAACAAACAAAATAATTCATTTTATTTTGGCATAATTAGAACGGAAAAAAATGTAATTTGTCATATTGGTAAGAATAATTGTTCAAAAATATGTCATTAATTAATTTTATTGTTTTTGAAAACTTGTATAAATTTAAAAAACATTTCTTTTAAATGGATTGTAAAACATTTTTTTTCGAAAAAATCATTCATTAAGATTTTTCAATATAACATTATTTTTTAGTAAGAAATAATATTCTCTATTTTTATTTTTATTTTTTAATTTTATTTTTATACAAAATTAAAATAAAAATAATCCAAAAATTAATTGTATTATTTTAGAATAATTATAAAAATAAATATAATTTGTTACATTGTTAAAACTAATTATCTCAAAATATGGCATTACATATTTTGTTTTTTATAAAAATTGTAAATTTAAAAAACAATATTTTTGTAAAAAAGTAACAACAAAAATCATTCATTATGATTTTCAATATATCATTATTCTACTATTCTTTTAGTAAGAAATAATATTCTCTACTTTTGTTTTATTTTGTTTGAATTTGTAAATTAGATAACTTATTTTAGAATAGAAAGAATATATTCTTTTAATAATGTTTGTCTTTTTTAAATTACTAATATTAATTTTTTTAATATGTGACATTAATTAATGCATATTTTAAATTATTTCTTTAGATTTTAAATTATTCAATACGGTAAAAGTTAAAATTTTAAAACAATATCCTATAATTCTATCCGTTTCTCATTTAATCATATTTGTAGAATACTAAATGAATTCAAATTGCATTAGTTATCATGTAGAATACAACTGGTAAAGAGCTATTTATATGAAAAATTAAAATGATTTAATTTATATAATAAAAAAATGATTTAATTTATTTGACATTTTTTTAGTTAATTATTTTAGAATAGAGATATTAATGTTTTGTAACTTTCAAAATAAAACATTTTTTAAAATTAGTTTAATATATTACTAACTAATATTATAATAAATTTAATAATAACATAAAGGTAACATAAATTAATACTCTTAATTATATTATTTTTAATTCATTCATTATTCCAAGTTTTATCAATACATTAGTATATATGTCTCTCATAGCTTTAAATGTCCTTCATATAATATTAACTAACACAAAAAATAAATATGAATTTATGACGATAAATTTTTAAATTTAACAAAAGAATAGCGGATAGATTTGCGGTTTTGATAGAAAGTATTTGGAAGAATATGAACGATTTTATTTGACATAATGAAAAAGAAGAAGCAATTAAATTTAGATTAATTGTGTTTCATATGTAGAATTATTAGTTTCAAGCCTAAGAAAGTACGGGATGTAATGCTTATTCCCATCAAGTTTTAGAGTGAGATTCATTTCCGGTGGGCTAGTTGAACTGTAATGTAGATGCGACTTTTAACAACAACAATGGCACTATGAATAGAGGGTGATGCATGCATAATCATTTTGGAAACTTTATCTTTACAGGTGTTGCTTGGGATCTAGGAATTCATCTCGTCATTGAAGCTGAAGCCTTAGCCCTTAAGGAGGCAATTCTTGAAGCTATATCTTCACACATGGAGTTTGTTACGTTTGAAAGTGATTCTCAAAGATTTATTCAAGCTATTCATTCTAATCGTAAGGGAGACTCTGAATTTAGTCAACTTTTTTTTTAATAAAAGAAAATATATATTACCAAAAAAACAATTATTACAAAGCGATCACTATGGATCCAACTATCTAAACTAAAGAGCTACACCAAAACAAAGCTCAATTACATCAAGAATAGGCTAGCAACATGTTGTCTGAGTTTAGGCCTCTTCCAAAATCTATACACTAAGGTATCAATTATATCTTGTCCTATTTTTGTGGCATTTACAGTATTCCCATGTATAATATCATTTCTATGTTTCCAGCAAGCATACACTACTTTTGCTAATGCAGTGCTCAACATCCCAGCTTTCCAATGTCTCTCTTTGCTAATCTGAGTCATCCAAGTTATTTCCTACTGCCAATTTCTCAGACCATGATCAATTTGCAACCTGCTAAGGACAAATTTCCAAATCTTATTCATTTCTTCACACTAAAACAAAAGATGATCCATTGTTTCAATGTCTAGACAGAACATACAATCATTAGTTCCTAGGATCCCAATTCTTATTAACCTATCCTTAGTTTCCAGCCTGTTCTGATAGGCCATCCACAACATAAATTTGGCCCGAGGCCTAGCAATATTGTCATAGAAAATTCTATGCCAACTCACATGTTGCTCCTGTTTAATCAGGGCATAATAGAAGTTCCCTGTCTAAAAATGCTTAACCTGAGTCACCTTATGCCATTCCTGCATCCCTTGGGCCACATCTCTTTGTTGTAGATTTTGTTTGAGAATCCACGAGCAAGTCTTGATAGGAACATTCATTATGCTATCTTGCTTCACATAATAGGTGTTAACCCATCTAATCAACAAATTGTCCTTCTTCGAACTCAAATTCCACATAAGCTTTATCATAAGAGCCTGGTTCCATTATGCTATATCTAACATACCTAGCCCTCCTTGTTTCTTTGGTGTGCAAATTCTCTTCCACGTTACATGAGCTTTTCTCTGTACAGTGATTTTTCCAGAACATAAATAAGATCTAAGAATAGCTTCAACTTTCTTGATAACTCCTTTAGGGAGTGGAATACACTGCAGCTAATAATTGAGACAAGCACAACGAACACTTTTGATAAGCTGGAGTCTACATGCATAAGTCAAGAGGTGAGCACTCCAATGCTGAATTTTCCCTATAATTTCTCAACCAAACTGCCACATTGATTGTTAGTTAGCTTGTTTCTAGTCATGGGGATACCAAAGTATCGAAAGGGTAAATGGCCTTCTGCAATGGTGGTCCACTCCATAATCTCTCTTTTTATGTGTTCATCCATTCCCCCACAATATAATCTCCACTTACTAGGATTGACTTTTAAACCTGTAGCTTTGGAAAAATCCTGAAACTCGTCTATTGCCAATTGCACAGAAATAAACTCCCATCTAGTAAATAATAACAAATCATCAGCAAAACATACATTTATGATTTTGAGCTTCTCATACTTTGCATGGTAGTTGAAATTTGGAATTTGATCAAGCTCCTGTAGTTTTCTATGAAGGTACTCCATAATAATAACAAAAAGCAAAGGGGATATGGGATCCCCTTGCCTCAAACCTCTCCTGGCTGCCATCTCCTTGGTACAAACACCATTGATTTTGAAATTATAGGTCCCAATAGTCACCATTTCCGTAAGCCATCAAATAAACTTCCTTGGGATCCATATCTCTTGCAATATAGTTTTTAGAGCCTGCCAGACCACAATGTCGTAAGCCTTTTGCATGTCCTTGTGAATCATACATTTAGGCACACCCCCATTTCTGGTATACCCCTTGATCAATTCATATGCAAGAAGCCTATGGTCATGTACTCTCTTCCCTAGAACAAAAGCAGCTTGATTGCTACTGATAATGTTATTCAACACTCTGCTATGTCTGCCAGCAAGGATTTTTGAGACAATCTTGTAAAAAGTTGTACACCAAGATATGGGTCTGTATTCTTTTATAGTTCTAGCCTCAAAATGCTTAGGTATTAAGGTGACCATAATAGTGTTTAACTTCTTGTATAGCTTCCCAGATTCAACAAACTCCTTAGTCACCTCTATTACTTCATGCTTTACAATTGGACATGAGTATTTAAAAATCTGGACCCATACCCATCTACCCCAGGAGACTTCAGATCACCAATACTCTTTAAAGCCTCTTTAATTTCTTTAACTATGATTGGAGCTATAATCATTCTTCTCTGACTATTCTCAAATTGGCTCCCTCTTCTCATTGTTACAATATCAACACCTTAAAGGTTTGAATCGGTAGTCCCCATTAGCTTACCATAGAATTGGAAAACCTTTGTCTCAATATCCTCTTGAGTAGTCAAGATAGTTCCATCTTCCTTCATTAATTCCCCTATGCTAGTACTCTTGTTTTTGCTCTTAAGAATATGATGGAAGTATGCATTATTCACATCTCCAAACTTGATCCAATCCACCTTAGCCCTCTGTTTCAGAATTCTTTCCTGGGTATCATTAAGGTTCATGAGCTAGTAAGTACAAACTTTCAATTTCTCCAACTTATTGATGTTCATTATGTCTATGTTTAAAGTTCTTTGGGCTTCATATAGATTTTCTCTAGCCTTATCAATCTGATTCTTGATCCCATACAAAGGTTTATTAATTCCCCTGATTATAGGTTGCATTTTCATCAGTTTTCCATAAAACTAGCATAGGCCCTCCAATCACATTCTTCCTCCAGTTTCCCTCAATAGCCTTATTTTATCCCTCCATGTCAGTAACACTATTAAGAAATTTGAACTGGAAGTTACCTTTCTTACCCTGAGCATCATTTCTTATACATAATAAAGCCAATGTTGTAAAACACCCTGATTGTTATACACTTCACAATGAAT